ACTGTCAAATTTTTGTCAGTTGTCGAGTCAGGGTCTGGTCTTATATAAAGATAATATAATAATATGTATATATATAGGAACTTTCAAATGTCATTGTGGATGAGCAAATTTTAAATTACATCTTTCACTGTAACTTTCTGTCCAGGAAATTATTTGTATGTAAACCAATGGTTGATTCAAAAACCGTTAAAAATATTATCAATCCAAAACCATATGATGAAAATTATATACTATATAGCTATAATAATATATATATTTACCTACGAAAAAGTTATAGGTTAAACTAGGTATTAAATGCATTTATATCATTTATTTATAATAAATATAATATTTTATACCTACTTATAATATATAAGGTCTAATACTTCAACCGATGTGTATAGGTCAGCGACTTGTGCAAAAATGGATTAATTTACTACTATACAGACTACACGAGTGTGTACGAGCAGCCGCGGTCGGTGAACGTATTATACGACTAAGTATCCCGAGGCGATACGTCAGCGCCGTAATACAGACTGTCACTATATAGTAATAATAATATCATACCAGAAATCTATTATTCGCGTATATATTATGTATATATATTATTTATTATAATAACAACGTACCTATACTTGTAGTATTTGTGACGGTTTGATTAGCCGGCTATGCATGTTTTTTACGTTAACTTATCGCCGGCTTTATCTATATCTTATGTATACTATACTATTATAATAACAATAATAATAAAATAAGGCAGTGTACACTGAGTTACAAATATTCAAATGATCAACCATATTTTTTTTCTTACTGTTACAATATTATAATATATCAGACCCGCAGAAACTTTGATATTTAAATGTTCGTTAAAAAGTTAATTGAACAGTTAATTAAACAGTATTTTTGTTTTACAATTTCATAAGTATTAATCAAGTGTTTGTGTTTGTTTTAGATTTATGAAATACAGTATTCAAATATGTAGGAATTTCAAAAAATGTCAAATTTCGTTAAGTAAACTTTAAAATAAGATATTTTAAAACCAGAGTTTATATTATACGGGTATCTGCAACGAATTTTTGCTTCGTATTAACAATGATTACAAATAGTATAATATAATATTATTGCTTATTATAGTTTTTTTGTTTTTTTTTAGCTTTATGTCGAAACTCTAGTAAATGGCCTACATACCTTTTGAAGTTGTTGAACGCTTTTAATATTTAGTATTATTTTTAAATTTCGCCTTAACGCCGCCGCTGCAGTAGCGGGGCCACGAGTTTATAGAAAAAAAAATGTAATATCCTTCGCAGAGTTCAATCAACAGTTCAGATCATATACTCATCCGGAACCGTTGTCAAATAATCGGTGTATTATATTGTATTAAATTATTATATAATATTATATAGTCACCCGCGGGTGTATACCTACACATCGTTGATCGACCGATGACTATATTATCCGATGCATACATTCGCCCGGTCGTGCTGCAGTGGCTTATTGTGACACAGAGTCACAGAGAAATGTTTATCCAGATCTGGGATTGCACGCTGTGGTCTACAATGTTAATTAGACCAGGGGCAAATGCTAAAACCAATACTTGGCAAGCGGAGCAGCGTGTACGCGCCGAAACGGAAGTTCGTTTTGTATCTTATATATAAGCAAACGCAAAAGTTCAACCGGAATTCGTGCCTCGCACCGCTGCAAAGCGGTCGGATTGTCACAATAGACAATTAATATTGTCATCGTCTGCAGCCATTGCAGGGTCCAATAATATGGCATTATATACGATACGTGTGACCCGAACGATCGAGTGAAAGATGACTATTGTACAGTGTAATTATGCATATACCTTTTTGAGATGCATTAAATCGTTGATACATGCGTACAAGCACCCACAGTAAAAATTGGTCGTTAAAATAATACTAAAACACGTTGATCGATAAACTACTGTCGTTTGAAATTTAAATCGAAAACTACACTTTTATTATGCGTAGGCACATGGTAAAGTTCATCGGTTTTACGACGACTTTATTTTTGGACCCAATTTTACGACGACGTTTATAATATGATATCATTCGTTATTCGTATTATATATTGGAATGAGATGACGTAGTACATTACATTTTTACAACGACGATAGAGGATATCTCATCTCCTGCCGGGACACCTTTACGATATATTATCGTACACTTAATTTGATCCTTATAATCTTATATTAATGGTATACGAAGTTCAGAAAATACCGGTAATAAGTTCCCTCGCGTTACTACAGTATTTCAATGATTGTATGTATAACCTGATATATTATTTCACGACCGCAAATTTTATTTTACCCTATAACGTCACAGTCCCGACGATCAGATATCTCATAGTTATGACTTATGGCAAGTGTGTTTAAATTAAAAAATGAATTATTTGAGATGGCGGAAATATTATATTGAAACTTAATATTATCGTACACAAATGTTTATTGTTGACATTACAGTTACGTGAAGAACGAAACAACTGACGCGCATATACTCGTAACTATATATATAATATATATTAAGACTCACGAATGTAATTTAACCAAAATCCGTCAGTTATACTCTGCGATATATACACAAGAAACAATATAACGACCACAGAAGTCGAGACTTAGCTTAAGACATTAACAGCATCGGTAGAGAAATATGTTGAGACACACACTATAAAATACATGTTATTATATACGTATAGCAACACAATTACAACGTCATTGTTTATACGCGCGAAAGATGGCGCAGTGCGTTTCTAATTAACTGTGCCGCACAAACACGCGGTTGGCCGGAAATCGAGAAACCGTCGGAAATGAGAATTTCTGCGAGGTCTGCGGCGAAAAAAAAACATAATGAAACTCACCCTTGAACTTGACTACCGGGAAGTAGAATAAAATTGAAACTCACCGAAACATAAATCATATTTTCACGTTGCTGTTTACCGACGTCCGCACCGACCAACTTGATGTCCCGGAGTGCAAGTGTGCAACGGTCCTGGTAAATTCACGAAGACATAATTCATTGTCCGTTATTGTCTGTTGTTTATTTTCTTAATCTATTTTTTTCGGTTGTCGCTCGGGAGGTTTACACGCCAAAGATAAATCATACATTTTTTTCGAGATAATATTATATAATAATACAGTCTGAAGAGAACTCAACACACATACGTCACCACACCTATCTCGGGAGCAATGCAGCATATGCGTGAATTCGTACAGTATGTAAGTTTTTGGCATGTTATAATAATATAATCGATTAAAATAATCTATCATTTTGATGAAAAAGAATGTTCCTGCAGTATATTAATTTGAAACGAGTTTAACTGTAAAAAAAATATATATCTAGTCTGTTATATCACACTATTGTAAAATACTGACTGATATCGCGATTCACGATAAACCTTAGTTATTTTATATCATATATTTTACAAGTGATATTAATTTTAACTGTAAAAACATTACATACCTACATACTTGCAACTATATATATAAAAAGGTATTTTTTTTCCATCGAAGTTATCTTAAAAATTATCAAGAATTTTTTGCATAGTAATGCAATGAATATTTATATCATATTTTAAATAGGTATATACCTAAATAGTTATGAATATGAATAAAAAGTATTTTATTATTATAAAATTTAATGAGTTATAAACACTAGAAAAAAAATGATATTTAAATTAGATATAAAAACCAGAATGCAGTACAAACAATTGTAATGTGAATTTATTTGTGAATAATTTCAACAGCCACACGAAGTAAAAATTAATTTGTTATGTGATAGGAATGCACAATAACAATATTATATTATTTATTAATGCCAAACAACTATTTAAGATCTCGAACACTATAGTTTAATCAGAGAAAATTGGATTTAGTAATTTTATTCAGTTATCGTCAGTTTTGTAAGGCATATTGACAAAAAATATATGAATAAAAGAGACTTTCGTTGGATAAATTATTTCGAAGTTTGCTCTTAATCTCCATTTACGTTATTATGTCGACAAAAGGCGGCATTTTCCTTAATACGTTGTAGGTAAACAAGGAACACAGCCACACACGGGTCGGAAAGAAGAAAAAATATTACAATCTGTGGTAGGTATGTATATTAAATAATAATAATATTATGTACGCGAGGAGAAAGGTAAATGAATATTTTTCTTTCAAAAAAAAAAAGATTAATCGTACGACGTATGTAAGTAAGTGTATTGCATATACAGGAGTGTAGGAGTATAGTATACACCGCGCTCGTAATAATATATTTATAAGATTTTTATGTCGTCAATTGATCTCTGCCGCCGTCTATTGCCGTTAATTTTAATAATCATATACGCTGTACGTCGAGTCACGTCAAAAAACAAACGCAAACGCACCTCTCCTCTCTGCCAGCCGATTGTCAATATGGGCCGAATATGTTAACACGAATTCCCAGTGCCAACCGCGGGGGTGTGGTGCACATGCGAGTCACGCTCAACCCCCTCACTCATCAATCACTCGCCTCGGAACAGGTTATGCGTGTGCCTACCTCGAATGGTGCCCGCAACCCCATCGCATCGTCACTGAAACATAATATATATATATACATGATATACACTAGCCGCGCACACGGACATATCGGCGGTAGGTATAGGCCAAAAATAAATCATCGTTACGCGAGCACAAATCCATAAACGGTCATAAATCATTTTCTATAAGTGTTTCTCGGCTAGAACAAATAGCGGTTACCGATGTACATGTATACCTGCACGTATAATATATTACGGTGCACGCCACTGCACTGGTTAATACATGGTATTATTGGGTGCAATACTACGGTCGGGTCGGGACTGTTTAGGCGTGAAACTACGAAGGCAACAGTGAAAAAGCGCAGAGAATCTCCCCCGGCCCCGACAGTCATAATCCTCCAATTTTCAGTGGGCTGTAATTGATTTGACGAAATTCTGATCGGTCGACCGACGGACGCTTGGGGCGTACAAAATAAAAACAATTCCCAGAGACCACGAGACGGATGGCAGCGTATAAAAACGTGATCGTCAAATACTGCGACTTTAATAATCATATTTCCGGCGGAGACACTGCTATGATACAATTTAAATATTTCGAAAACGGTGTGACGTACGTCTGCAGATGCAGACCGGTGACCCGCGCTGGAACATTCAACCGGAATGGCCAAGATAATGTACATTTAATCACATGTCGAATCGAGATGAGAAGCAGCACACGAGCATTATAATATAGTTTCCCAATATCAAAACGTAAATAAGAAAGATTTTTTTCATTTAAGAAAATTCTCTTGTTGTGCATAAAATATATACCTTACAATATGAATAAAATATAAAACTATGCATTTTTTTCAATTTTAAGTGCTGGAGGTATCGTATACCTGTATGTAGCGACGTACGTTTATATCGAATACACATTAATTTATAATAATTCGACCTAATGGAATGTTTTTATTATAACATACCAATCTTAAAAAAAAAAGGGTATTAAACCAAAAGCCTCCCCAGGACATATCCAACACCTATAGTATACATCAACTTATTTAGGTAGGTGCACCGACATTTTCTTATTCAGAGACCAGAACAAAAAACAATAGAACAATATTGGATGTTGTGGACACAAAACTGTACTAGCTGCAGTATTTGTGTAGTGTATAATTATCTATATAGGTAACATATTTGTAAGAATATTATTATTGTTTTCCCCTCCAAATTAGTATATAGGTAGGTACTAAAAACTTTTTGTGTGATTTAATTTTTAAGCTTTAAACAAAAATTGTTTATTAAATATATAGATTTCCACTCAACTTTTAAGATTACGATTCGGTAAACTTTGAACTGTTTAGCAGCTGATGTTTTGTGTTCCGATAATTAGTAAAGTTTTTCTATATAAATACTATACGGTTGATTGTTGAATATTTCGAGTGGCGAGCATTCTAGACAAAAATCCAGACTCATCTGTAACGTAAGACAAATGGGAGAGAAAAATAAGGTGAATAGAAAACAAAATAATAGTAAGTCACATAAAAACAGAAGAAGACGTATTCAAGTTTTTCAAGCATTGTGGTTTACCAAATCAACCATAATAATGGTACCTATTTTTAAACCACTTATTTTAAACACACATTAAGAACACCGAAATTTATAGGAAAAACTAATCTTTAATTACTGCTGAGTATATATACATTATACAGGGTTATCAAAATATTTTGTTGAAAACTGATGTCTTGTTTTTAACAAAAAAAATTGATAGTAACCTATAGATCTAAGAATATAATATCTGTATATTGATAGTACTGGAAAACATTCACATCAAATGTTAATGCATTGTTAAAATAATATAATTTGTAACCTTTATACAACTATATTCGTAAAATTAATGACGAAATTGTAATTCAAATTGGTTTAAAATTTAGAATTTAGAATTTAAAATAAATCATTAGGATTTAGGATAACCGACGAGTAATTTATTATAATAAAAAATAGGCATTTCAAATTTTCGACTTTTGAAATATTTACAAACATTAATGGGGTCGTACAATAATGTACCAATATGGAAATAAATTCCAAATAATTTCAATAATTTAATTGAGCGAACGGATTTCGTGGAAAAAATGTAGAATGTTTAAAAATGATGTAGGTATGTAAGCATTTTCTGTTTATTGCTAATTTAAAACATGTACATAGCTATACAGGTACCTAGTTATAATGTCATTTCAATTATTACGAGTAAAGTTCACAAACATAAAAATCCTCTATTGGAATTTAATATATTTTAAAGTTAAAAAGCGAATGAAAAATAATCCAATTATCGACTATACAACGATAATTAATGGAACGATGTGGCAACGATAAATATGATATAGGTACCTACGTATGAAAGATTGATAATATTGATAACGCGGTATATCGGGATTTATTGATAGATTTTTCTGATAAGACTCGAAAGCGATGACGTTTTGAAATTGTGATCTTCGTTACAGGACTTTGGCACGACGACGCTAAAATATCCAAAGAAAAGCGTTTTATGTTTATCAGTTTCTAATTTTAAGTTTATACCACACGACGTGTATTGTACTTGGGGTGTAATTAACTTCGGTATACGATGACAGCGGCACGTGTGTCGGTTATTCTTTTTATTCGCGTGCGCACGCACGACGTTCGCCCGTCGTCACTCGGTGGTCACCGGAAAAGAATATTATTCTACTTCCGCTGTTTGTGCACGACGATAACAATAATAAAAATAAACGTATTCATAATATATAGAAAAAAATGCATTCTCTTCTATGCGATCTCATTCGTGTATATACAATAAATATATTATATTAAACATAATATTTATATATATTATATATATATAAGACCTATAGCGAATACAACTGAGTCATGAAAAACAAGGGTCTCCCGCTTTATATATATTATAGGGTTGCAATAGGCACCTACCATAAAAAATAAAAACCATCTGACCTTTAATCGTATATATATGCATACACGACGTGTTAAACGCGTACGTATATAATATATATATATATATATATATTGTTATTATATCTCGAGGAAGGGTGAGAAAACGAGCATTAAATTTTCTCTCGCCCGACCGGTAAACAATTATTATTAATGCGAAAACCTTTATTTCTCTCCGCGACGGTACTATTATTAAAAACATAAACATAAACACACGCACGCAAGCGCACACATGGGTGAGTACACACACAGAATACAGTAATTATACGGCGAAGGGTGAAATTATTTCAAGAAGATATTCTCTTATTTTAATATACCTACAAGCGTAATACAACAAGAGAAAATAAAGATTTTTTTATAAAGATTCCTTTTTTAATAAGGCTCTGTAAAGGCACGTATATAAAAGGACCTGTAATGGTGAACGGAAGCCAATTAAACGTAAAAACCAGAGTAAAAACCGTCAACGTTGTTTAAAGTGAACCAATGACGAAATTTGTCCTGGCACAACCACTCAAAGTTGCTTTCTTCTTTTGTCGACTTCTTTAAAATAATGAAATTCAATAAAGGTTACAGATGACAATTATTACAAAATGTCAACGACGTCTTCAAACTCTAATGCATTTTCTAAATTCTTTAAATACTTTCTTGTAGATGTATAAATGTATAGTACTTTTTTCGTACTGATTTAATTTTTAAATATATTTGGTTAAATCTTCAAGAGAATTTTCGGTGATATTTTAAAAGGATATAATATTCTCGTACGGGTAGAATTCCAAATTTCTAATCGTGCCAATAAATAAATACTTTATTTAACATTTGAATAAAAAATCTCTAGTAAAATATTATCAGACATTATCAAATCTAGTCGTTTTGTTTTTCGAGATTATAGAATACATTTATTGATATACCTACCTCTATAATATTATTGTTAATAAAAAAATATATTCAAGAATACTGGCAAAAAAAAAATTGTATAGAACTATACAACTATATCAACTACGTTTGTTACAAATATAATTATTATATCATCTATATAATGTTGTCAAACAAAAATTAAGAACCATATGGATAGTAAAGTTGTGATATATGCCTGAAATAGTATATATTGTATGGTAAGCTATTTCAGTCGAGCGTGACGTGTGCGGCACGAGCCGCATTTCGCCCAAGACTGAAATTGCCTTCCCGCACGAGCCACACATACTATTTTTTGTCACACCTCTGCATTCATCGATCACGGCAAAGGTATAATGCAGGGATCTATGCAACAACTAGACTATAATTCTACGACAACAATATTTCACGAAAGAAACGATTTGGTTTTATTTATTTTAAGCGTGACCCACGGAGGTTATAAACTTATAATAATATGAATTATGAATATAAAATGTAACCAAAGTTTATGTTTTGTAAGGATAATGGTATAAATTTCAGTGTCTGGTTGTATACGCACGTGATATGTGTGCCCAGCACGTTTGGGGATTTCCATTTTACCAACCGGCACTTTTGGGAATTTCCACTTTACCACCCAGCACTTTTTGGGATTTTCACTTTACCGCCCGGTACTTTTAGGGATTTGCTGGTCGGAAAAAGGACGCTTTCCAACGCTTCAACCGCTATCGAAAACCAAACTTTCGGTGCAGGCGTGACAAAAAATAATATAATAAACTTCATATTAGCATTTAGCTCTCACTTCATCTTCGGTCTTATATCTCATGTATGCGAAAAGCGGGATATAATATTACTATTTTATAATATTTTACTGTAGAAATTTCGAGGGACAAAATATTCTATGTATATGTAAGTTTTTAATTACCCAACTACTATAAACACAAAACTCATATAATATATATAATACATGGTTTGAGGAAAGAAAAAACTCATCATCGTCTAGTTTTAATAAAGGAACAAAATGTGTTATGCCGCGAATATGCGATAGTATCACACAGGTACGCGTGTCATTTCACTTTTTATAACTCAAAATTGCAGAGTTGCCGACACGCCATTGTTGTTTCTTCGTGACGTCGTGGAAGAATATAATGGACAAAAAAACTATCAAAATTATCGTGAATGTCTTTGCAGTACTGAGCGACGTGTAGAAAACAACGTAGGTACAACGCTAATTTTCAATCCAACGCCGTTTTAATAATATGCGTGTGCGATGAATAAATTCACGATGTATCGGAATAATGGCCGGTAAGACGACGACGCACTTACTCGAACACACACAACATCCGTCGTCAAGATTTAAAATTATATTACAAATATTATAAAGTATCGCACAAGACGGAGGAACAGAATTTAAATTTATCAATCTGAACCAAACCAAATTTTATCTTGACATTATCGGAATAATTCGAATCGGATAAATTTGGAATTACATTACTAAATGTAGAACTTGGGTTTAACGTAATTATTAGAATCGTACTAGATTTTAGTTGGTATTGTTATAGGTACTGTATTGTACATTTGTACGTGTACGTCTGCAATGTGTTGTAACGTTTTAAAATTATTTAGGTACTTTAAAGTATAAAGTAAAATATAAGTTCGTCAATATTTTTATAATAATTATTATATATTATATTGTGTTTGTAGTTTCATATACAAATTATGTTCAAATAATGAGGTACACGCTAAACGGTTAAGAAAAAAAGTTCAACTAGATAAAACCATATGATTTGAAAATGTACGACCCTTTAGAATTTGTCAATATACTTTCGATTCAATTCCGTTCCGTTTCGAAGTATAGGTACTGTGGACTCATATTTAA